GGCTATAAGTCTCTGGTGTAAGATAAAGATTTGTGGCACAGCAAGGTTGCTGGCTCAAGGACAGACTAGTTACTGACTGTTATGTAAAGATACTGAGAAACTGCTACAGGGAGAAGGAATGTTTGCTAAATCAAGCCTTTGTTAGTGGATCACTTAATTGCCTAACAGAATGTCATCTGACTTGTTTTTACTGAATGTTACCAGCTTCTATTATAAAACTTGTTAAACTGTACTTAGCAAAACCCCACCTATGTCTCTTCCTGTAATTTCTTGGTCTGGAGAATAAATACAGGAAGAGAATCCCAATTCGTGGTTAATTTCCCAAATGGAACGATGCCTCATGCTTGAAGGTCCTGGGATATTAACCCCTTTCTGGGGCTTCTCACTGCTCAAGAGAGATAGGCTTTGAGTAATCTTTGGTGGCTCCATCACCGAGGGGAAAAGGGGTGACAAATCCATGGGAGGCAAAGCAACAGACCTGCATCTACTACTATTGACCTAACGGGTGGGTAGTGTATACAGTGTGGATATACTAGACAAAGGGATGATTCATACCCCAGGCAGAATGGTATGAGATTTCACATTGCTACTGAGAACAGCATGCAATTTAAAACTTATTTCTGAAATTTTCCATTTAATATTTTTGGAGCACAGTTGCCCACAGGTAACTGAAATCAAGGAAAATAAAACCACGTGTAAGGAGAGACCACTGTATTAAGTATCTGCTTTGTGTTAGGGAGTTTGGCGTTAGAACAAAATAGACAGTGTTCTTTATCCTCAGCAGAATTTAAAATCTAATAATCGCAATTTTTGTATCCTAATTTTTGTTTAGAATTCCTGACAGACTACAAACCTCTTTCCTTTGCATTTTCTCTGATACCTTGTGTAGCAGTCAACAAACTCAATAAGTAGTTGCTCAGTACTGGGGATAAACTAACGGGGTTTGAAGTTATCCTGCTGTACCACTAATTGAGCTTCTGGACTACTTCTCCAAAGAGCTAGCATTCAATTATCCCAGGGACATGCTTTAAGACTCATTCAATCATAAATTGAGCATATATTATATGTTAAACCTCACTTCCTTGGATTATGATTAAATTGCAACTAATTTTAATGTCTTTCATAAATAATTTTTTAAAAATCAAGGGCAAATAAGATCTTCACAGAGCTTTAGTAGGCATAAAGTAGGCTATATAGGCAAAAGCACGTAATTGGACCCTTATCTCACACCATACACAAAAATCAACTGAAAATAGATTAAAGGTTTAAATGTAGGGCCTGAAACTGTAAAACTCCTAGAACATATAGGAAAAATGGTCCTTGAAAATTGGTCTTAGCAATGATTTTTTTGGATATGACATCAAAAGCACAGGCAACAAAAGCAAAAATAGACAAGTAGGACAACAAACTAAAAAGCTTCTGCACAGCAAAGGAAACAATCAACAAAATGAAAAGGCAATTTACAGAATGGGAGAAAATATTTGAAATCCATATATCTGATAAGGGGCTAAAATCCAAAATGTATTAGGAACTCATACAACAAAAAAACAAATAACCCAGTTAAAAAAGGGGCAAAGGGACTCAACAGGTATTTTTCCAAAGATGACATACAAATGGACAACACATACATCACTAATCTTCAGGGAAATGCATATCATAACTATGAGATATCACCCAACAAATGTTAAATTGGCTATTATCAAAAAGGTAAGGTATAACAAGTGTTGGTGAAGATGTAAATTGGTACAGCCAGGATGGAAAACAGTATGGAGGTTCCTCAAAATACTAAAATTAGTACAAATGATCCAGCAATAGCATTTCTGGGTATACAGCCAAAGTAAATGAAATCAGTTATCTTGAGATATCTGCACTCACACGTTCACTGAAGCATGAATCACAACAGCCAAGATACGAAAGCAACCCAAGTGTTACGGTATATATACAAAATGGAATATTATTAGCCTTGAAAAAGAAGGAAATCCTGACATGCGACAAAGTGGATAAACTACGAACTTGGAGGACATTGTGCCAAATGAAATAAATCAGACACAGAAAGACAAGTATTGCATGATTATCACTTATATGTGGAATCTAAAATAGTTGAATTCAGAGAAACAGAGTAGCATGGTGGTTGCCAAGGGTGGGGAAAATGGGGAAAGAAGTTGGTCAAAGGATACAAACTTCCAGTTATAAGATGAGTAAGTTCTAGAGATTTAATGTACAGCAACGTAACTATTGTTAATAATAATGCATTGTATACTTGAAATTTGCTAAGGAGGTAGATCATAAGTGTTCCCACCACACACAAAAAAGATGACTGACAGGTAACATACATTCATTAGCTTGAGCTTGATTTTGGGAATCATTACACAAGGTATACTTATATCAAAACATCATACTATACACCTTAAATATATGCAATTTTTAATTGTCAATCATACCTCAATTTTAAAAAACTGGAAAAAAAAGTAGGCTATGAATTTTAAGCATGTAAGCATTTGACCCACTTTTTAAAAGGTGCTACAGAAAATACTAATCTACTTTTTTTTTTTTTTTGGTGGCCAGCCTGTAATACTGATCTGTTTTCTATATGGAAAGTTAAGTGTATGGAATACCAATTTATGCAAAATAAGATGCAAATTACTTTTAGGCCAAAAGAGCTGAACTTCAAAAAAAAAAAAAAATACAGTTCTGACATACTACCAACTATAACTGTCCAACGGATCTAGTTGGATTTTGGAAGGCAAAGCTATCAGCAACCTCTTTTTTAATTATTCAATATTATTACACGGAATTAGATTGTTGTGATTTTTATTCAATTTGACATCCTGATTAGAACAAGAGCAGTGAGAATGAAGCTTTACAAACATTGCAATATTACTACATCATTGTTATATGGCTTTACACCGATTGTACATAGAGAAAAGATATTGGAATTAAGGCAACAACATGTGCAAACCAAGCACATTACCCTGACACAGTCTTCAGTAAAAAGCTCTTTTGGTTAGGTGATGGTTGATATTGCTGCATGCAGGTAAGTCACTGCTTTGAAGAATAAGCCATGAATAACTTTATTCATTTTTAAAAATCCCTCCTACTGGCCCACAATGGCCAGAAGAAGCTTTTGGTAATCTCCACTTGTGTCACTTGCAATCATTGTGCCCAGGGTCTTCTGATACATCTGCGTAAACAACTGTTTTATTTGTACAAGATCAATCTGCATAAGAAATAGTATTTCTGATCGGTAATCTCCACTTGTGTCACTTGCAATCATTGTGCCCAGGGTCTTCTGATACGTCTGCGTAAACAACTGTTTTATTTGTACAAGATCAATCTGCATAAGAAATAGTATTTCTGATGTTAGAAAAAATCTGTCAAAAAAACCCTGGTATTTATTACAATTATTTTTTAGTAATCATAATAACATCTTAATAATAGTCAAAGCAGAGGGGGAAAAACACCAAGTGACTGACATTTTATAGCTAGCAAGCATTCATACCAATACTAGCACTATCCAATGAAGGTCTGATTCACTGCTTTGTAAAATATCGGATAAGGGTGGCATTAATTTCATCCACTAGTCCAAAAATATTAGTCATTTAAAAAACGTGATAGGATGGCTATTATCAAAAACACAGAAAATAATAAATGTTGACAAGGATGTCGAGAAACAGGGAGACTTGTGCATTGCTGGCAGGAATGTAAAACGGTGCATCTGCTGTGGAAAATGGTGTGGTGACTCCTCAAAAAACCCCACAGAATTACAGTATGATCCAGCAATTCCAGGTATAAACCCAAAAGAAGTGAAGGCAGGGACTTGAACAGATATTTGTACACTCATGTTCATAGCAGCATTATTCACAAGAGCCAAAAGGTGGAGGCAACCCTGTGCATCTGTGCACAAATGAATGAATAAACACATTCATACAATGGGTTATCATTCAGCCTTAAAAAGGAAGGAAATTCTGACACATGCTAATACATGGATAAGCCTTGAGGAAACTATGCTAATTAAGTAAAGAAGCCAGTCACAGAAAAACAAATATTATATGATTCCAGTCACATGAGGTACCTAGAGTAGTCAAAACATAAGGACAAAAAGTCATATGGTGGTTGCCAAGAGTTGAAAGAAATGTGAATAGAGAGTTACTACTTAATTTTCAGTTTTGCAAGAAGAAAAACATTCTGGAGATGGATTGTGGTGATGGATGCACAACCATGTGAATGTACTTAATGCCACTGAACCGTACACTTAAAAATGACTAAAATGGTAAATTTTATGTTACGTATATTTTACCACAATTTAAAAAAAGATCCTGCTTAGTAAATTTAAGTCTAAGAACAAATACAAAATTTTTTTTAACCGTATTCTGGTTGTTTAAAAACTGATCTACTTTTTAAAGTATATTAGTAGTGTGCGTGTTCTTTCAATTAAAACAAAGTTCAATAAATATATAAAGCCAAAGAAAAAACATTTGAAGCTATATTTAGGTAAAGAGACAATGATAAAGTTTATAAGAATTGTGTTATAATTATTTAAGGATGCTAAATTCCAAGAACTTCGATATCCAATAGGATTAATCTGTGTAGGTCTTTCATACCATTTTTTACATAAGCAAAATGAAAATCAAAAGATAAATGTCTTCCAACTTCCCCAAAACTGGTATTCTTCACAGACCTTCTCAAGGAGACAAATCTCGGTATTGTCTTCACTGAGGCACAGTGGCCTGTTTCACCAGTGCAGGTCTCTGTCACACACAGCATGAGGAAAGCAAATACTGTGCTTCATATACTACCTCTCACATCATTCCTAAGGGACTGACAATGACTCAGGAACACTTAAAGCAACATTCAAAACCGAGTAAGACCAGACAAAAAGAGAAAGAAGGCTTGCCTCACCTCACTTCGAGAGACCACAATCCTGACCAGGGTGGAGTCATCTGTGCCGGCCCCTTTCATAGAATAGTAGAGCCTTTCAGCAAAGAAGGCAGGACGGCTCAGGGCACACTGCACTGCAAGTTACAGATGCGTTAGACATGGAATCATGACTTGACAAACAAGTCTGCACCTCCAGCTTTACTTATCACTTTTAGCCTGACTTTGATTATTTTCTATGTAATCATCTCAGAAATCTGGGGTGAGCTAGAGATGTTCTCCTCCTTGATTTTTCTCAGCATCCATCTTTCTTTCTAGCTGCATAAGATCTTCAACTCTAGAAGATTCCCTCTTGTCAACCAATCCCATTTTCTCTCCATAGATGCAGTGACTTACGATTCTTTATATTTTTCCCTTATAGTGTGAAAATTTATAGCAACTGCAGCCTAAAAGGAATGACAAAAATCTAAATTCTGGAAGTCAATAATATCATTTGGCGGAGAGGAGAATATGAGATATACCCTAATGTAAAAGAGAAAAACAGATTTGAACAAAGAGTTCAAAACAATACTCAGAAATCCGACAGGTTTTCCCTTGATTCAAAATTCACTTAGCAAAATCTCCTCCTGCAGATCATAGAGATGTACTAACTGTACATTATTACTTTAGCTACAATTACTATCTGTTAATATCAATGTGCTACTAGTACTCTCCTTAAGTCTTATATTATCCATGGGAATGAAATTTCCATCATGTTAAACATCTGGATGTTAGACTATCAGAAATTGGCCATTTAATTTCAAAAAGGAAAAGGGTCTCATTGGGCTGAGTATTGGAAAGGTGTGTTCTTGGGGGGCTCAACATGTTTTGTGGTGGTACTAGTAGTTCTTTAGGGCTTTCCCATTCACCTTAAAGAAAGTGCTACAATCTAGTAGATATTCCTGCATAGTCCTCAAGAAAGGCATACAGATGAAGGCCAAAACAACCCTATTTGACCATACCGCCAACCACTCATAGGAAATTGCATATAAAAACATAGGATTAGCTCAGCTTCTGCCTAAGCAGATTCCAGGGAGGCTATATTAAGCACATCACTTAATGGGAACAACTATTCAAAGCTCCCACTCATTAAAAACAAAATAAAGCAAAGTACAGAAGTATCTTACAGATGGTCTTCAAACCACTTTCAACATATCCGGAAAATTCACGGCCCACACTGCTTAACAAATCTCGATTAGCCATCTGCAAACAAAAATTACAGGGTTAAATATTTTTACATCTTAAAATGGAAGCCAAACATTCAAAAGAAAAGCTCATACCCTGGAATAAGCTTCCATGGTAGCTCTCAGCTGAGGAAAACTTCTTGTGGCAAGGATCATGTTAAAGCAAGATTCATCTGTCCCTAGTCTCCCCTCACCAGCTTGATAGAGACGCTGAGCGTCTTCCTGAGCCATCTGGTGGTTTACACTCTGGTTCTCATCGCGATTTCCCTGCAAAAAAGGAAGGTAGGAATTAGAGGAAAGAAATAAAAGTTCAATTAACATTTTTTTTCCTATTCTAGTCATTTCTGGATTTAAAGGGATAATTTATTAAAGATTAATACATAAAATCCGTCATGCATCTCTTTCGTTTCCAAAGAAACTATATCAATGCAACTAGCAATTTATTATACTAAAACTATGATATATTATAGATTTATATTATAGATTTTATAGTATATAATCCTGGTTTAAGGAGGCTATGTTAAAATGAGGGCTTTCAGGGCTTTGAGAACTAAATCAAAAAGGTTTAAACAAAAGTATCTCTACTAGGAGATATAAACTACCATTCAAATGAAAAAATTATGACTCTCCTCAGCTGGGATTAAAGATTAATATGCACTACACTGGGTTCTACCTTGTATTCATTCGTGCGACTAAGAGGTATGGAGCACTTTCTTCGTGCCAGGCACTATGCCACATGGTAGGAACACAAGAGAAACAAGGCCCTGCCTTCAAGGAACTTAAGTCTAGGGAAGGATGATACAATATGGAGGCTTCGTAAACTTCCTTTTCTTCATCCAAGTGTGAACTTAATATATAAGTATTTATTATGAATATATACATAAAAATGATGTATGAGCTTTCAGAAGAAGCTATAAATAAGTTAAATTCTGCTAGACTGTGCCAGTTTGTTTTTGTGTTTTGGTGGTGGTGGTTGCTTTTGCCAGCTGGCTGGTACAGGGATCAAGCCCTTGACCTGGTGCTATCAGACTCTAACCAGCTGAACCAACAGGCCAGCCCTACTGTGCTAGTTTGTCTTCCAAACTCTTTCCTAGGATAGGAGGGAAGGAGGAGGGACAGAGGAAGAGTTTAAGCTCATTAGACAGGCAGTTGGTTTCTTTCAAAAATAGACACCCAAGGGCCGGCCCGGTGGCGCACTGCTACAGTGCGTCGCTTGCAAGCGCGGAGGCGCTCCCGCCGAGGGTTCGGATCCCACATACAGACCGGCCGCTCACTGGCTGAGCGAGGTGTGGGCATGACACCAAGGGTTGCGATCCCGTTGCCAGTCCCGGTCCGGTACGGGCGCGACACTGAGGGTTGCGATCCGTTGCCGGACATGAAAAAAGACAAAGGAAAAAAAAAAAAAATAGACACCCAAGCCCAAACAGAGGAGAGGCTGCCCTCTAGAGTCTCAGTGACTATCTGAGGAACAAAATGAGAAGACACTCCTTGAAGCAAGACAACTGTCTTCTGAAAAGCATTTGGCACAAGGACTATGAGAGGAATATTCTAAATGGGCGACTGAATATACCACAGAAAAAACTTCCCAGGTCATTTATTGCTTTTGGATTCAAAACACACAATATAGTCCTATTTTCCTAGGAAGGTGACTCCTCTGCTTACACCCTGGAAAAGGTACGGCCGGGCCTTGATCCCTGTATAAAAAGAAACTCAGCACCTCATATAGCCTTAATAATTTTTTAACATTAAATGTCTGTTCCTGCTTTTTTTCTTCATCCTGTTCTTTTTAAATCCTGACATACTTCCCCTGCCATTACTGTTATAAATTCAATTTCCTTCAGCCCATCTGCTTTCTCATTTCCACATCCACTCAGTTTTGCACACTATCCTTTCTGCAACTACTTTCCTTGGCTTTTAAGAGTCCCTCTTCTAATTTTATATCCTTCAAGATCGGTCTAACCTTGTGCACTAATAAGACAGCCAATAACTGCCGATACTGAATCAGTGGGCTAGTCTTTTGCATCATCTCACTCTAAGTGTGTTTCTAGTAGCATTCCAAATTCTCTATTTGGAACATTTTCTGTCACTTCTCTAGCACATCTGGGGAATCACAATAAGAAAGGTGCTGATCACAGTATTCCCGTGAACGCTGAAACATTTTTCTGCATTTCTGGCTCTCCTCATGTAGTTTTCATCTCCTCTCACTCCTATGGCAGTCCTGTAGATCTTCGGTTGATGGTCCAACATAACTGGCAGGACAGTTAGTTTCATCCCCATCCTAGCCACAGAGCCTCAAACTGGTTTCTGATTCCATACTACCTTAAAGTGGTTAATTTCTGATTCCTTACAAAAGCCAGATTTGCAGAAATAAATCCCCAGAGTAACTACAAAGAAATCTATATACTGGATTCTATGTTGTCTCTCTTAAAGATGGCAACATTCCAAGGTGGCTAAATATTAAAAGGAATAAAGAATGCTCATTGGCAATAGGCAATAAAGTATACTCTCCACCAATAGGCAAACATGCATGCTATACTCACCTGGCACATGGATACAAGTAAACGTTCAAAATGCCCTGATGTATCTGACCTAATGTCCTTTTCAAGATCACGTCCAAATTCTGATTGATAACATCTGACAACTTCTCGGATTTCCTGATTTGTTCTTGTGCACAGAATCTCAATCAATACACGTTCCTGAGTTCCTGCTCCCTATATAAAATGAAGAAAGGGGGAATTATACAAAAAACCCACAAAATCTCTGAAGGTAAATCTTACTGTTCCATCAAATATTTCTTTGTCCTCTAGAAGTGAAAACTCTACATATTCAGATGATGTGAAATAATGTATTGCTTTAACTATCACCGTAAATTCAGAACTTCCAGCATTTGTGGGGTTTTACATATGGAACAGGATCAAATACTCACAGTAAATGACATATAGTACCTGCATTGCATTCCGTAAACTCCAGGCATCATAATACGTAGGAGGCATGAACAGTGCAAGGATCAGTTCTTCCATATTTCCACTTAACTCTGATTTGAGATCTTTGATTAAATCCTGTTTAATTACAAATGCAAGCTAAGTATATCTGCTCTCCAAATTTTGTTGTGTAAATCTCTTAAGAAAAACATAGAAAAATGAAATAGAATTGCTTTACGAAAACCTAAATTTCAAATCTGAAATATTAAATACCAAGAAACAAGTAAATATATATACTTAAGTTTGTTGTACTCAAGTAGATGTATTTTACTCTTTCTATCAATAAAAACTTCATAATAAATTCTTACTGCAGTTCTACCACTTTGCCAGGTACAAAGCCAAGAGAAAGAATAAGAAACTAACAACATAATAAACAGACATTTACTTAGTACAAGAAACTACACTTGGTTCTTTGAGGAAGCAGAAATCACTATCATCTTGTTCTTATTTGGAAAAATAAGATAAATATCTAAAAAGAGATAAGGCAACCTATACTCCAGCAGCAGATGAGTAATACAGAAATAAATAACAGAAGAAGTTGAAACAAGAAAAGTTTAAAGTGGGGCCGGCCCGGTGGCGCACTGGAGAGTGCGCCGCTTGGGAGTGTAGCGGTGCGCTCCCGCTGAGGGTTCAGATCCCATGCTGAGACCGGTTGCCGCTCACTGGCTGAGCGTGGTGCAGGCACAACACCGAAGGTTGCGATCCCGTTGCCGGTCCCCGGTACGGGCGCGACACCGAGGGTTGGGATCCCGTTACCGGTCAGTAAAAAAGACAAAAAGGAAAAGAAAAAAAAAAAAAAAGAAAGAAAAGAAAA